ATTGCCATGTACTACTGGAGTAAATTAGTTTAAAAAATTGAGTCAAAGGAAGGAAGGAAGGAAGGAAGGAAGGAATGCAGCAATTTTTGGAACAAACAAAGCAGATAATTGCCAGTGCATGAAATGTAATTTGAAACAGCTGCGTCAAGCTTCCAGTAGCACTGAAAATTGATGCTCACCCGCTGTGCTTATAAGTAGGCACGCTAAAAGCAACTGCTTGCTTCAAGAAACATAAACTACTTCACACTTTGTCCATTAACCTTACGAAGAATGGAACCTGAAGGCAGCAACACTTTGAAGTTGCACATGGCTATTTGACTAATATGAAACAGCTGGCAAGTTAAAGAAAAACATGGGCTTGGCCATGCGATGTCAGGCTAGAGACACCACCTGGCGGCTGTAAACACATACAGCAAGCAGAGCTGAAATGAATTCCCATAAATGTTTAAAATGGCAGAGTTTTCCATTTTTCCACATTAATTTTTCTCAGGAGACCATTTCAAGCAAGTTTTAATTTGCATTTTGAATTGGACACTTGAAAGTAAAACAGTTAAAATGCTTATTCTTGACTCCTGGTGGTTCTGATTTTGTCAAGCTTTGTCAATAAAGAAAATACGCTGTCATCAGCAAATAACATCTACATTTATCTACCAAATACTGTCAGGTATTTTAAAAAAAACAAGTCTGGAAGCCCTGCCCTCTGACGCGGAAAGCCTTATTCCTGCTGTGTTGAGGCTCCTCTGGCCCTCCAGATGTTGCTGCACTACAACTCCCATGATTTCTGACTATTGGCCATGCTGGTTAGGGCTGCTGGCAGTGAGAGTCTGACAGAATCTGGAGGGCCATAAGTCCCTCCAGCCCTGCTTCAGGGCAAGGGTAGGCAGGCTTCAGGTTTGCATAATTTAGTGTGGGCATTCTTTTTCAAAACTAGAACCTCACAATCCATTATAGACAGAACAGAGGTTCAGAGGCCAATTAACCAAGACAAACGTACTAGAGATCATAGATTCTACTAACAAACCCTACAAATGACTGGTCAAAACCTGGTCAAAAGCAACAAAACAGTAACACTCTGATTCTTCATATTATGCCAAGAGATGTGTGATTTGTATGAGGCCAGCCACTGCCTCTATAGCAGAATTTTTTCTCTATATAATTACCAGAGCGAGTGGGGCCTGTACGGAGCGGTTATATCTCAGTTGTGGAATGCTTTCCCCAAAGAAGCTTGTTGCAAGCCTACTTCACTGCCTTTTTGGCCTCGGCAATAAACTTTCATCTTTCCCAAGCTTTTTAGATATATATATTTTTAATCCTGCTGCTTTATGCTTTTTGTTGTTTTGTGGCTTTTATCTTACTATTTAAAAATATTAAAATGCAAATGCATTCTTCTTGTAAACCACCCTGGGAATGTAAGTGTAGGGCTGTACAAAAATGCTGCCAAAAATGCTTAATATCGTAGGCAGGGCCACAGAACTGAGAAACAAGGGACCTCTGGACACAAGCTGAGCCCAAGAATGGTACCAGGGCCCACTGTCTTTCCATTAAAATAACCCCCACTCCAATTGATCCCCTCCTTGTGCTCCAGCAGCCCACTTCACAAAATAGAGCCTGTTGTGTTGGTGGTTGCTTGAAATTTGGGAGTAGCAGGAGCTGACTGGTGGAGAATTATTTTGCACATCTTCTTCCCTGGTCCAGGGTGGGATCTGCAGCTATTAAATCCCAGGATAGTTGAGGAGTGGATATGGCATCAAAAGGGAAACTAGAAGCTACCCTGAGAACTCCCCAGTGATGCTGAAATATGCTGTTACCACATACCGGTACTTCTCAGCCAATCAATTAGATGTGCAGTATCAGATGAGGAAGGGATGTAGTTTAGCATGCTTTTTTTCAGAACAAAATAAAACACCAAATTGGTCAGTCATAGAGATGGGGGGGGGGATTTGATTCAGTTTGCATTTAAAAGAGAATTCATCAAATTCACACTTTCCAAAACATTACAAGAACCAAAACACAGCCATCCTTCAAATTTGACCTCTGAATTTTGCAATGCAGGTCTCGTCTAGTAACGTTTACAAAAATGCATCTTCTGGGGTAAAGTGTGCATAAATATATATATATATATTATGGAAAATTGCTTTGCAAAAATGTGTTAGGGAAAACTGGATACAATCAAATATCATGCTAAAATGATGGGTGCTCATGAGGGTTTGAATAAGATTCACACAGTAAAGTGGAAATGTGGAGAATGGAACTTAAACTTTGAAAAATGAGAAAACAGAGAAACAAAAATTGACAATTTGTCCATCTCTAATCAACAGTCGAAAAGCTCCGCACATCCATTCTAGGATTCAGCCCTGGCATTGAAATTAGATTCTAGAACTAACTAAGCCTACCATGAGGATAGGGGCCACAGCTCAGTGGTAGAATGCACACTTTATGCCTGCCAGGTTCAATTAATCTCATGTCTGAAATTAGTTTGTCCACCAACATTAAAATTGGTTGTGTTCTGCTCCACAGTCAGTACTTCTAGAACTTGGATATAGAATCTGTGTCCACCCCAGCTCCCATCAGCACAGCTAATTGTCAGGAATGGTAGTTGTAGTCCAACAAATCTGGAGGGCTACTAGTTCCCCTGCACCTTTCCTAAGACATGCACTAGAATTCTGTGTGGTCTACAAGGCTTCTGTGACCAGATATGCAGGGAATCCTTGGCAGATGTGGAAATGGATCCCTGATGACCAAGAGTCTGAAAACAAGGGTAATAAACCATTGTGTAACAACTAACACTTGTCAATACTAAAAACCATCCATTGTGTATTAAGCAAATACTAGTGTGGGGGAACCAGCTCGATAACAAATATTCAGAAATGTGTAAAAACCTGGAGAATTTTTGAGCAAAATCCACAGATTCTGAGTTGAGGTGAAGTTATTATATATTATCAGCTCCTGATAATAGGAATGTCTCCTGTCCTCCGTTTCACAAAAGAATGGAGAACAAAGATTTGAAAATACTCTTGGGCTCACCTCACTATAGTCCAAAAAGTAAGAAATTCCAGGGTCGCAGTGCTTACCCTGGTTTCGTGTTCTCTGGAAAGGAGCTAACTGTAATGCTGTTATCTTACAAAGCCCAAACACAGCTTTCTGACTTTTATTTTTTATTATTAATAATGATAAATTTCTTCACCTGTAAGGGCGAGGGCAGGTTACAACAATTTAAAATACAACATTAAAAACAGTTTAAAACAAAACATGTTGAGCAGATGGGGTGGGGTGGCTGCTCACCTGCCAAGAATGCCACGTGCTAATGCCTAATCTACAATAGTGACACTAAGGAAAAATGTTTTTATTGTGCAACAGCTTCAACAATGCAATTTCGTGTTTTTTTAAAAAAGCATTTACTGATCAGCTCCTTAAAAACTGTACTTTGTAAAAAAGAAAGTAAACCTATGCACAGATTTTTAAAACACTTTGAAGTATTAAGAGATTGTTTACTCGAGCAACACTAAATGAAGCCTTGGCTTGCCTCCCTGGCTTGGCATTCTAAAAGTTTTATTTTACAATGCCACCAGCTGCTAGTTTGGCTCTGCCAATAGCAAATAATATATTTTGGATCGCCCATCTGAATCTAGTCAGACATAAACATGGAACTAATCCTACATTGCTTGGCTACTATCCTAAATTACTAGGGGAGGGGGTCAGTATTAAACCAAACTAATATCTTTTTCCTGCTAATGCAGCACAGCTGATGCATCTGAATGGGTTTTTGTTTTTGTTTGCTTGCTTGCTTTGTACAATTGAAGATGATCAAGGAAGGTACTTTGAGGTAAATTCTCACATAAGTCTTGCTCTCCAGAGTGCTCCACTTCTGCAATGATATCATGTGTGAAGGATGTAAACCTCTCTCTCTTTGACATGGCTTATACTGAAACCTGAAAGGAGGTGACATACTGGTGGAGTCACTCATAGATTGGGATAACTCATGATTTTAATCTTAGATATAATTTGTGGGAGAATCTATATGAATGACCCAGTTGCTGCTGAACTACAGCTTTCATAATCCCTGGCCATTAGCCAACTTCGCTAGCACTGAAGGGAGTTGTAGTTCAGTAATAACTGGAAGGCCAAAGTTTCCCCACACCTGTTGTAAAACATCTGTAGAATAAGTATGTTGCACTAGTACATCAAATTATGTAGAATCAAAATTTCCCACCCCATGCTATCTAGCAATGAAAATGGTAGAAATATGAGATACTTCATTTAACCAGAACAGATGCTCTGCATATAACTAACTTGAAGTGGAGCATGATAGGTGTTCAGAGTTGCATGAGTTCCTAAGCTATAAAACAGAGTAAAGATGATGGAATAGAAAACCTATCTGATTGTGAGGCACCGAAGCCCATGAATCACAAGCAGAAGCTTACATAAAGATTTACAACCAATCTCTGTAACCTATCATGACATCTAAAAAGCCAATGACCTACAAGCCAGGAGTAAATTCATCTATAAGCTCTATTGCCAAATATTGATCTCCATACACATAAACAATCTGCATTCTACATGAAGTGATAGTAGACAGTATAGCAGTTCCCAATATCAAGAACATGTATCTAAATTACAGCATTAAAAACAATTATTTTATTGAAGCTATTTTAAAAAACCATATGAGGCAGTATAAACATTAAAATTGTAACTGGGAAGGAAGAACTGGCATTTAAAACTCCAAAAAGTTAAAACAGCAAAAAAGACACATTAAAAGTACATTTTTAAAGCTACAGGTATAGTATGACGGTAAAATTAACAGGTATTTTATAAAAGAATTTAACAGCACATATGTAAAATGGAATCCAATGTATACAGAAGTCATAATATTCAGATGCTCCATTAACTTATGTTAAAATAGCTTTTGAACAGTCACTATGTATTTCAGATTTTACACAGCTGCCCAGTGTAGAAACAAATATTTTACAGACTTTCCCAACAGGCTGACAGCTCTCTGCCACTTATCCATGAGTAGTATCATCTTCCACAAAGTCTTTGGCCATCTCTGCTGTGATCACATCAATATGACTGACCTAAATCAGAAAAAGAAACACAGTTTTGAAATCAATGAAGATGCTAGCCAACATAACAGCTCCATGGTGTTTATGAAGCACTCTCCCTCTACAGTACTGTAAATTTGTAACTGTGTAATTAATGTATGGGGACACGGGTGGCGCTGTGGGTTAAACCACAGAGCCTAGGACTTGCCGATCAGAAGGTCAGCGGTTCGAATCCCCGCGCCAGGGTGAGCTCCCGTTGCTCAGTCCCTGCTCCTGCCAACCTAGCAGTTCGAAAGCACATCAAAGTGCAAGTAGATAAATAGGAACCGCTCCGGCGGGAAGGTAAACGGTGTTTCCGTGCGCTGCTCTGGTTCGCCAGAAGCGGCTTAGTCATGCTGGCCACATGACCCGGAAGCTGTACGCCGGCTCCCTTGGCCAATAAAGTGAGATGAGCACCGCAACCCCAGAGTCGGCCACGACTGGACCTTATGGTCAGGGGTCCCTTTACCTTTTTTTAATTAATGTATGAGCCAGACAAAATCATTCTACCAAATGTTCCACACACAACTCTACATTTTGAAAACATGCAGGAAAATCTCAGCATGCAATACTGCATCCTAAATCCAGCTTCCATTTCTAACCTTTATGCTTGCAAATATGTACAGGCATCATCCCACTTAGACACAATCAACTTGCACGTGACCACAAATATGCACGGCGTCAGGAAATAAAGAGATTAAAACCAGGAAATGGCAGGAGAGAGCTGGAGAGTCCTTGTGGCCAGTGAGGAGACCCTCCCAGGAGCCCTAGGAGGACTTCAGTGAGGGAGGAGGAAGCCCCAAAGAGATGAGAGATACAGCAGGGCTTTGTGTAGGCTGTTCATTCTCCCCACCTAGCAACTGACATGCACAGTAGCACAGCAGCCACTTCTCTGTGCAACCTCCAGTCTCCAGCTGGCCACAGAACTTTAACTCTAGGTGTGGAGAGAGAGTGACAATGAGATTGCTGGACAGCAGGGGGAAACGGGCATTTGGAGGCTTTTTAGCCCCACTTACAAAATATTTGCTTATGCATGCAGGGCCCCAGAATGTAACCCCAGCGTAAGTGGGAAGACCCCTGTATTTGAAAGTGAATGGACACTGCCTTGTGATGTTTCAGAAACTGGAGTGATGAGTGTCAGAACAAGATTTCCATTACTCAGAGCTTTAGAGTCCTGCATACCTGATCCCACCACCTATGAACGGCAAAGGCAGAGCAAAATAATCAGCCAGAGCAATTCAAACCCTGGCTGGGCAGCAGTGCAACACAATGAAGTGGCAAAGCAACCACTGTATCCACAAGCTTGTCCCTCCCAGGGGCGGGTACAGGCCATCAAGTGAGGCCAGCGGGGCAGCGCTCAAACACCCTGTTTTGAACATTCATGCCAGTGGTTGTTCTGCCAGCCTGCACTTTCAGTGGAAGAAAAGGGGAGCTCCAAGTTAAGAGAGCTACACTTCACAGTCAGTGGGGCTGTTCTGGGCTGGTGGAGGGTGACCATCCCATCCACACACACCACCCCCAAGTGTGACACATCACGGCTTTGGTCTGCACTCTAAATGACAAGAGTTACGTATTTTATACAAACAGCACAATTCAAACTCTTGGCACAGGATCTTTAATAGAATGGAGTGCATACTCTTCTACTTTTAGACTGTCATCTACAGAAAGCAGCCTAGAAGGAGGACAGCACGTACTTTGTACTAAAAATAATAAAGGTAAAAAATAAAAAAACCTCCAGTCATATGTTCTGAAATGTCTGTGTATCTAGACATCTGTGCAGTACTACCCTTGCCTTCAGTCAGTCAAATGAAGCTGAAATCTATGCAAACATTAGCAATCAAGTCACTAGAAATGTGTCAGAGGCCATCGCAGCCTTTAACATAAGCCTGTTGAATTCATGTGCCTTTATTGTTAATGAAGTGATTTATAAGCAAGTTCCAGGTTTATTATTTATGGTAACAGTGTCCCATCATGCTTTGGAGGGACTTCAGCCATTGCCTACAATAATTTATTTAACACGTTTTATAATTGCATACCTTATTTCTGAATTTTACACCATAAAATTTATCAGCAGACTCGAGCAGTTCCGGCCTGAAAGTTGTGGTAATAAACTGAGCATGTTCTGCCAGTTCCATGATCATATCTGGGGAAGTAAAACAAATTTCTCAACGAACATTGAAATAATTTTCCAGGCATTTCTTTAGTGGGTAAGTAATAAAACGCAGCAAGTTCTGGTACATAACAAAGTGTGATATTAAAATGCAAGCAAATTTCAGCAATTGGCTCGAGTGGGCATCACATGACTATTCTGCAAACTGTCATAGGAGCTCGATTTGGTCAGCATTTGATTCATCATGTATGGAATAAATGTGGAAGGACTTGGAAGAAATATATAATTGGGAATATACCAGTCAAGAAATCAAAGGGTAACTCCATCTTCCTGGCTGCTGCACTGCTCTTTTGTCATTCCAGAAAATGTGCTAGAGCAGGTTTGGGGCTGCCACTATGAAAACTTTTCCAAGGTTGATGGAAGCAGTAGCAATAAGGCTTGGTTGAAGAAGAATGCTTTTGCCTGGTATCTAAAAATATATATAATGAAGGCACCAGACTAATCGCCCTGGGGAGAGTATTCCACAAACGGAGCCACTGCAGAAAAGACCCATTCTCATGTTGCCATCCTCTGGATGTCATGTAGAGGAGGCACACTAAGAAGGGCCCCAGGTTGGTTTATAAGGTTTACACATCTTAATAAAGCCAGATTACCTTCTAGAAGTCATACTCTGCCTTACTATTACAATGTCATTCCCATCAGTGAGACCCAGACATATCTGGGGAATCCACAGAGCTAGGTCAACTTGAAGTGGCAAATATCTCCCTGTGTTCCTTCCTTTAGCTACAGTGAAACAGCCAACTGTGTTCCCGAGAAGCATAACAGCAGTTCACTTCTGTACCCCAGAGGACAGCCACAAGACGCACATATGTCATATTAAGCAGCTACAGTGAAACTATAATCCCAATTATTTTTATTATGAGAAGCTTTCTTTGTAACTGCAATTAGAGAAGTAATATGTAGCATTGTGTTAAACAGTAAAATACCCAAGACTCTACCTGAAACTGCCTTTCTATGCTGGGCATCTAGGGCTTGATCAATTTCATCAAAGAGGTAAAACGGCGCAGGGTCACATTTCTGGATAGCAAAAATTAAGGCTAGAGCCACAAGTGACTTCTGTCCACCAGAAAGCTGCTGCATCTCTCTCATTTCACCTTGCTTGCCAGTAAATGACACCTGCAGGAACAATGAAAGATTAGTTACTGCTAATTCTTAAGCATTACCATAATATAATTTGTGGTCATGAGAGTGCAAGGTAAAATATTCCATTACCCTAATCCCAACTCCAGTGAACTGGTCTACAGAAGGAACACTGCTTTGAGATCCTGATCCCTTTTCACTCTCAGCACCACCTTCACCTTCATCTTGAGACTGACTGCCTTCCACATCACCTTTCTTCATCACGAGTGTAGCTTTCCCCCCAGGCACCAGCTTCTGAAAGACTTCACTGAAGTTCTTTGAGACCTTGAGAAAGTGTAATTCAATCCATATTAATCTTTGCACAAATAACCTGAAGGCTTTTTCTGGCAGACAAATATTTCTGACAGAAAAAATATAGTAATTTAAAAGGATTTCAAAAGCTACTTTGGTAAAGTATTGCCATAAGAGTTCATCCTAGAAAATCACATCCCATCCCATCACCCGATTAAAGAAGTACTCTAATAATTGCTGATTCAGTGTTTCCAAAGCGCACTAAACACAATAAAGTAGCAAACTGGTGCTTGCTACTGGCGCTTGTGGCAAAACAAAAAACTTGAATGACAAAAGACTGGGGACTGTATGGGTTGGCTCCCTGTATGTGTATAAGGGCTCTATGCTTGCAACAACATATGTACACAAAGCTCCTCCATGTGTGCACAGGGGTGGGGATAGAGAATCTGGGTTGGCTCAGGAGCCCTTCTCTTGTGTAGAGCACTGATATGCAAGCAGTCTTTTCACACATGCACCAAACGCCAATACTGCAGTTGGTGGGGTCAAGGGCAGGTTTATCCTGTATCAAACTCATAGCAATTGTGGTAAACGTAGTACAGTATAAAAAATTTCTAGCACCTACAAATATTTACAATCCAGTTAGAATCTAGTCTGAGACATGTGCCTCTGTTAGGACCTTTTCATAGAGTGAATAAGTTCTTGCTAAGATTTCAGTAACCTCAGTTTGCTTGTCAAAATAAAACCAGGTGACAATTTATGAACTTTACAAATATGAACACATGCAAAATACATAATACAATTGTTTCCAACATGCAATTCAAAGCATGTCAAACAGCCTTGTCACTCACAATGGGTGCCAAATAATACCTGTTTGAATGTCAGCTGGATAGCTTCATATTTTCTGAGTTCAAGGACATTCATCAACTCCATGATGGACTTGTAGCCCCTGTCCAACTCTTCTTGTCGTTTTATCAACTTCTCCTTCTGCTCTGAGAAGTTCACAAACTGATCTAGAGCTTTTTTATTGACATGACTGTATTTTTTCAGTTCTGTGTTGCATTGTTCCAGTTTGCGAAATAGCTGTATAAAAGAATTGAGAAAATCCATCAGAGCACGGTATGAACCACCACTCACTGTCTCTGGAGATGAGCACTCAACACTTTTGTTACCTGCTTCAGGCTCAAAGTCTGGTATTTTTCGAACGCTTCCTGGGGAAGTGATCCCAATTCCCTGATTTTCTTCATACACTCCTCTTTCTTCTTCAGAAGCATGCCTTGCCGGTTAGTCATTTTTTCAAGCTCTTTTGTGTCATGATTAATGGCATCCATGTGCTCTTTCTCCATGTTCTTCCAGCGCTCCATGCTTTTTTGGAGTTCTTTGATTCCTGCTTCTGTTTTATCAATTGAATTGTCCAGATCTAGTATAACAAATCAAAGAATAGTATAAAAACATATAGTTGAAATTGAGCTTTACAACTTGATATACAAAGAAAATGCAGAACATTGATAAATCTTTATTAATAATATCTATGATTTTAAAATATAACCAGGGTAGGGTGGGAATGTACTCTGGAATGTTAATAAACTCCCAAAGGTGATGAAGAACAAGACAACAAAATCCAGATGTGCCAGTATAAAGAAATAAAGGTATGTAAAGATTATGTCAAGCACAGCATCCACTACAACTTCTAGCAGCAGCTTCAGAAAGAAGCCATGGAATCCATTGCACTAAGGGAGTCCAATAAGGTTTTATAGTTTGTATCCTTCTGGAGGGCTTAATGGGAAGCACAGCTAATGTGTCCAGACTTGTGCTACCAGTTCTAGTTATTCTTTATCCTTCTTTGTGCTATTTGTACTGTGTACTCTTTGAACATGATTTCATTTCAGTGTTATAAACTTTGTTAAGTTAATTGTTCTTGGAATACTTTAAGTTAACTGTATTTTAGAGTATTTTAATAAAATATTCTAGATATGACACCTTCTCTTGATTACCAACCTTCTGAGCGTGCCAGCGTATCTTTCACTCGTTTGTTGATAGCCTCAAGCTCTGATGTTGTTGCTGTAAGAACAGTGCCACCTTCTGTCTCTCTCAGCTCATTCAGTTCCTAAAAATGCAAAATGTTAACAGCATGCAAGTTCAGCCGATGCAAATAAGGAAACTATACTACATAGAAGAGGTTACTTTTCATGGTTTACAATATATTATTGAATAGCTCATTTTTGTAATTGATTAGAAATATATAGATTGCAGCTTCACCCCAAAAATTGCATAAAGAGAATTTATATTTGTGTCATCATAGGATTCTCCAAAATTTGTTGAATGTTGGCAGTTCAATAAATAAATATTACGTGAACATCCACTAACTTAGAGACACACCAGTAAATACCGAGTCACTGTGATGATTTTAAAATAGTTTTTAAAAAAATGTTAAGAATGTAGTGGATCAAAATAAAATATCTTACTTGTTCAACTTGGTCTAAGCGCTTTCTCAAATTCTCATTGAGATAAGTCTCGACTCGTGTGATGATCCCCTCAAGCTTGATCCTTTCATTCAAAAGCTGTCTGTTTTCCTATAAACCAAGAAATACATACGGATATACAAAAACAACTAAATATTGTTGGCTGATTGTTTTAGAAAATAATTTTATTTCACAATATTTATACATCGCTTTATGTTACTAAAACCTCAAAGTGGTTTACCAAACTAAAATTATCAGATTAAACAGTTTTACTGGTATTTCATTAAATGCTTTATGCTCTTCACTATTTACATACATGTTTTATAAGTACATTCTAGCAAGCCCACTGAAATCTATGGGCATGCATTGATTTCAGTGGATCAGCTCTATGAATGATGAATGTTGGTATCACACTATTTTTGCTACCAAATGAAAAGATAGCAAAGGTAGAAAGTGGGGAAGGGAATAGTTCTGAACAGGCTTTTGTAAATAATTTCCCAACATTCTTAATCACAGCAATTTTATTTTTCATTTTAAGTGTCCTTACTTGCTGTAGCTGTCGGATCTCATCATTAAGTGCATCAACTCGTTTCTGGTCCTCTAAACTGAGCTGCGACAACAGGTCTGTCCCCAGTTCTGCTTTTAAAGACTCCCGGGTTGATTCCATAGCATGTAAACTTGCCTCCAAACTTTGTAAGCTTCGTTGCTGAAGAAAAAATTAAATGTGAGTATCATGAAAGCAGCCTTCCAATTTATCTAATTATGTGACCTAGCAGCAAATGCCATATAAAAAAGGCTTAAACGCAATAAGCAACAACAGTGATCTCACTCATATATGTACCTACTCAGAAGTAAAATCATACTCTGCAGCCTTAGGGACTCTCAGGGAATATGAAACTGGACTGAGAAATAATCATAAGCATTACTATTACTATCACTTGCTTCATTCCTTTTTTTAAAACCAGTTAATCTACTGGATAGCACACTGAACAATCCAGATAATGAAAGTATAATCTGCTGTGCAGGAAGAGCAATCAAAGCCCTTGAACTGGAGGGTGTTTGGATGGAGCGGAGCGGACTGCTGCTGGGGAAGCTCCACCATCAGGGGAATGCTCACTTGTAAGCACAGGATCTGCTGGATCCTGAGCAGGCCCTACCGCTGTCATAAGATGGCAATTAGCATAATTCAGCAAAGGAACTGAACTAGCAAAGGGGCGTTTTTTTCCTGCTGCTGACATGACTGGCACAAGTGACTGGGCTGTGGATGCACCAGTGGTTGCTCTATTCCATTAAACCAGCCACTGCGAGTCAAGTGTTAGGATTATAGTTTTATCTGTTGATAGCTCAATCAGTAGAGAAATAGATTCTTAATCTCAGGGCTGTGAGTTCAAGCCCCACATTGAGCAAAATATTCCTGTATTGCAGAGAGTTGGGCTAGATGACCCTCGTGATCCCTTCCAACTCTACAAATCTATGATCCCATACCTTGGGCATAAATGTTTTTTCTGACTGCTGTCTCTTCTCTTTCAACATTTTCATCTCTGATAAGATGCTGTCTCTGGAAGCTTTGAATTTTCTTTGTTGGGTTTCAATCTGCTGCATCTGATTCATTAGCTGATCAATTTCATTATTAATCCATGCAGTGTGCTAAGGAAAAATTCTGATCATCATGTACATTATGAATGATATAAAATCAGTATGTTGTTGGTCTTAGAAAATGAATCCTTTTACAGCAATGAAGGCTGTTTACAAATCATAGCATATTAACATGACAAAAATACTACATGCCACAACCTTCTATAAACAAATGCAAGTTACAGTATGGCTGAAAATTGTACTTACAAGCTAATCACCTACCAGACTTGACCACAAACCCAGCAAAAACAATCTCATGTGCACTTTTTGAGCAAAGCTGCTGGCATATTTGTTCAGTTTCTACAACGCTACTGGTGAAGAGCTACTCTCTGCAAATATACGGTTAAGACCCCTTTTTCTGTTCTTCTTGGCCGAGCAAATCTTGACTGATTCTCGGCAGCAGAATATACCTACACTACTTTTTCTTAACAACAACCAGCCCTTCTGAGTTTCCTGAACAGTGACCAGAGCATAAGAACGTAAGAAGAGCCTGCTGGATCAGGCCAGTGGCCCATCTAGTCCAGCAACCTGTTCTTACAGTGGCTGAACAGTTGCCTGTCAGAAACCAGCAAGCAGGATTTGACCACAAGAGCACTCTCCCCTCTGTGGTTTCCAGCAAATGGTATTCAGAAGCATTGGAGGAAGAGCATAACCATCATGGCCAGGAACCACTGACAGCCCTTTCCTTCATGAATTTGGCCACTGCTCTTAAAACCACCCAAGTTCATGGCCATCACTGCCTCCTGTGGGAGTGAGTTCCACAGTTTAACCATGTGTTGCATGAAGAAGTAGTTTCTTTTATACATCTTGAATCTTCCTACACTGATTCATTGGTTGTTCTAGTGTCATGAGACGGGGGGGGGGGGACTCCCACTTTTCTCTATCTACTTTCTCCATGCCAGGGTTAATTTTATAAACTTCTATTATGTCATCTCTTACTCGCCTTCATGCAGAAGACAAATGCATGTACACTGAGAGACATACAAAACTACCAACAGCATTCACACACTATTTGTACCTCAGTCATCCATTCTCTTACACGCAATGCAGTTATTTTACTGAGAAACAGGCAAATAAGCAATCCCACCAACAACATCCTCCACATATGAACAAGCACTATGAAGGATATTTTCAATGTTTCTTCGCAGGTTTTCATTGAGCTTTGCTTCAAGTTCTCCTAGTTCTTCTTCCACCTTTCTTACATCTTTCTGCAGTTCAAGTCGAGACTTTCTTGTGTCATAATAACCCCCAGTCAAAGCCCCTCGGTGGCTGACTTGATCACCTGGGGGTGGGGAATATATTTGTGAAGAATAGATGCTAATCTGATGTAGGGCAGGTGAGTGTGACTTGGTTGAAATGGCCCTGCCAGCCAAGTTGAAAGGCCTAGAAAAACTAGTTAGGCCTATGGGCTGGAGATTCCCCTTTTGCTACTTTAAAATTATTATTAACACTTAATGAAAAACATTTACAGCTCTACCTAAGTTATTCTAAGAATCAAGCAATTACATTTGTATGAACTGGCCTTTTCAATATATAGCCAGAACAGGGTTTGGGAGAGAACTAGTACGCAACAAATTCAGCTTATCAGAACACAATGAATTATATATGCTTTGTTGAATTGCTGACAAAGAGCCAAGTAAACGGTGAAATCCCTTTCCTTTGCAAATAAAACTGAACCAAAGTCATACCTTCCAGAGTAATACAATCCATAGTAAAAGCTCTGGCCAGCTGGGTAGACACTTCCATACTACGACAAATAAGAGTCTTTCCAAAAACATGCTTGAAGGCTTTATCAAATCTTGGATTGTATCTTAGTTTACTGATCATAGGAATAGCATCCTGAAAGCAAGAATATTAAACAGTTAAAAAGAAGTACAAGAGTACTGCATTTATTTTCAGGTACAAAATGTATACTATAAAAAAGCCAACTTGGTATCAAAAATACAAATAATTGAAATGTAGACTATAATAATCTAGAATGTAAGTAAATCACACAACAATTCCCTTAAATTAAAGGAAAATAACCTGGCTAAAAGACAGATTTAGAACGGCAACATGCAGGGACATATGAAATACAGGTTGCATCCACCTTTGCAATCATTTTATTTGTGGCCAGAATAGCACTGAAATGATTACAAGTATGTAGGCCTAGCAGGACAATTTGCTATTTAAAGAAAACGACGGCAGACTCACATTGGTTTCAGGGTATGCAGTATCTCTAACATCCAGCTTGTTCAGAGGCAGAAAAGTTACTTCTCCAGGTAGATTCATTTTATTGAACTCCATTAATATCTTGGTACTAACTTCATCAGAATCTACAATATGATAAAAAAGCCTAACATGAAAAGAGAGAGAACAAAGTTGAATGAATGAATGAATGTTTTATCTTAAATTAAAACTGCATTGTCTCCCCTCCTACATGCCATCAAGCACTACCAAGAAAAAAATCCTATGGAATCAAAAAGTTTTATGCACTTTTAAAGCTTTCACTGCTAGGCCGTATCGCTGCTATAAAAATGAATGTATTGCCTAGAATGCTGTTTCTGTTTCAAACATTGCAAATTTTGGACAAAATGGACTGTTTCAAGAAGTGGCAGAGAGACATTTCTAGATTTGTCTGGCAGGGCAAGAAGCCTAGAATAAAATTCAAAATACTAACGGATGCAAAAGAAAGAGGTGGATTTGCCCTGCCAGACCTTAAACTTTATTATGAATCAGCAGCTTTTTGCTGGTTGAAGGAATGGCTGCTTCTGGAAAACGCAGACATTTTGGACTTAGAAGGTTTTAACAATGTATTTGGGTGGCATGCATACTTGTGGTATGATAAGGTCAAAGCACATAAAGCATTTAAAAACCATATTGTCAGGAAAGCATTGTTTAATGTTTGGATAAGATATAAGGATCTACTTGAAAATAAAACTCCAAGATGGCTGTCACCGATGGAAGCGAAGGCTCTGAAAAAGCTCAATATGGAGGCCAAATGGCCGAAATATTGGGAAATTCTGGAACAAGAGGGAGATAAACTGAAATTGCAGAGTTTTTAAAAACTAAAAAATAAAGTGCGAGATTGGCTTCATTATTATCAGATAATGGAGGCATACAATCTGGACAAGAAAATTGGCTTCCAGGTGGAAAAATCAAAATTGGAAACAGAACTGTTAGATCCCAAAACTAAGAATTTGTCAAGAATGTATAACTTGCTGTTGAAATGGAATACTCAAGATGAAACAGTGAAATCTGCTATGATTAAATGGGCACAAGATGTTGGACATAACATAATGATGGCTGACTGGGAACAGTTATGGACCACAGGTATGAAGTTCACGGCATGTAATGCCTTAAGAGAGAATATTATGAAAATGATATACAGGTGGTACATGACACCAGTCAAGCTTGCAAAAATCTATCATTTGCCCGACATTAAATGTTGGAAATGTAAAGAAACTGAAGGTACATTCTTTCATCTTTGGTGGACGTGCCCAAGGATTAAGGCTTTCTGGGAGATGATTTATAATGAAATGAAAAGGGTATTTAAATATACCTTTCTGAAGAAACCAGAGGCCTTTCTCCTGGGCATGGTCGGCCAAATGGTGCCAAAGAAGGACAGAACTTTCTTTATGTATGCTACAACAGCAGCAAGAATACTTATTGCAAAGTATTGGAAGACACAAGATCTACCCACTCTGGAAGAATGGCAGATGAAGGTGATGGACTACATGGAATTGGCGGAAATGACTGGCAGAATCCGAGACCAGGGTGAAGAGTCGGTGGAAGAAGATTGGAAGAAATTTAAAGACTATTTACAGAAAAATTGTAAAATTAATGAATGTTAGAATGATGTCAGAATGAAATTAAGTGGTTCTAGCAGCAATGTCATAAAGGTGTATGAAAAAATTGCTGGTTAACAGGTGAGAATTTAAAGCTATAATATATTAAGTTAAAGGACTAAGACAAAAACAAAGAGGGAAAGGAATTGCTGAATTAACCAATTGAACCGGAATACAAAAAAGGGAGGTGAGAGGAGGTCAGGAAAGCAAGGAAATGAAATGTAAGATACGAAAGGATAAATTTGTTTCTAAGTGTTCTTTCTATTTTTTTTTATACTTTGCATTTTGTATGTTTTTTCTCTTCCCCCCCCTATATTTTTCATTGTCTTTTATGTAATTTTTTGTTTTTGAAATCTCAATAAATATCATTTAAAAAAAAAAACCCAAAAAGTTTTATGCACTAATATTTATTAGAAAAACGCCCAATTCACCATTTTATGTGCTAGCAGACAATGGTTTATACAGTGGTGCCCCGCAAGACGAATGCCTCGCAAGACGGAAAAACCGCTAGACGAAAGGGTTTTCCGTTTTGAAGTTGCTTCGCAGGACGAATCCCCTATGGGCTTGCTTCGCAAGACGAAAATACCTTGCGAGTCTTGAGATTTTTTTTTCGCTTTCCCCCCCCTTTATCTAATCTGCTAAGCCTTTAATAGCCTTTAATAGCCTTTTAGCAACTAATCCCCTAAGCCTTTAAGCCTTTAATAGCCGCTAAACCGCTAATAGCGCTAATCCGTCAATGGGCTTGCTTCGCAAGACGAAAAAACCGCTAGACGAAGACTCTCGCGGAACGGATTAATTTCGTCTTGCGAGGCACCACTGTAGTTAATATGTTCACATTAAACATTTCTACAGGAAAAAAGCCTAGTAATCAGAACTATACCTGTTTCCTGCAGTAACTTCAACACAGGTGTAGAACGCAGGCTCACACTCAAAGTTATTCATTACTATTCCATGATAGCCATTCTGAACATGTTGGTTAATGCCTTTGCGACGGAAATGCTCCAAGACTTTGTTTATGCTGTCAATGCCATTTAGAATAGCCTGTCATAATAAAGCAGAATTACTTGAGCTTCCTATACTTTGTGGAAATAGGGTAAACCCCATCTCTATTTCTCTCTCTCTCTTTAAGGATTTCCTCCACTTTTAGTTATCTTCAGTTTTATACCAACAGGGCAAAGTTATGCAATGATCATTATAATGCACACAACACGGAATCCATTATTTGTTCAGACAAGTTAATATACACAGCTACTGAAGTTTAAGTATAGGGCAACTGTATGCACTTAAGCAAGTGATTGGTGACCACAGAAGCTAATTTAAAAAAACACAGTTTGGTTTGTATTTGTGACTTGGTAAGTCATAAATACTTGTTTTAATACAAATGAATTTGTCTTTAGGCAGTTTTGATTTTTACTTCTGGCCTGACCATTCCCCACAAAATTCTTCAGAAAGAAAAAGAACTATATTAGTTACTGAAAATCTCTATCATAATTATGACAGCATGCTATGACTCTCACCTTTCCTGTTGCTGCTCTAAGAAGCTGCTGCTTCTTTTCCAAGTCCTCCCGTTTTGCAGCAAGAGCTTGCTGTTCTGCATTCTCTTCTCTCCACAAGTAACTGAAAAAATAGTACACTTCCATATTACAAAACATATCTTCAAGGAAAAACAGAATAAAATTCCAGATCAAGGTAGTATTACAAGGTCTCTAATAACCTTGTCCTAATCTAAAGCTTTCTGCGAGCATTTTTTAACGCTATTAACTCTTTTGTTAAATCTCTTCTACAGTGTATAGCTCCTCAAACTGATTTATTATCCCTAACAAGAAGAGACAATATGTCACATATCTCTTAAAGTATCACTCCTTTTTTTTAACACAGCAAAAATCCTTGCCACCAAGATTGGAGAACAAAAAATTAGATACACAGTACTTCATGCAAGCCCCCTGCCTCCAGGTTTCACATTTTGGGAAATTTAGATTTGAAATAGCTGGAGTACTAAAAGAAGTGCAAGGGAAAGTTGGAGAACAGCCATCATATGTAGGAACCTGGAATTAAACAGAATTAAAAACCAGGCCCTAATTGCTAGAATCCATGAATGAGGTTCCCTCTGATGGTAAAACAGTGCTTACACATTCTCAAACATTTCTCCAGAACTATCATGGCTATAATCTCTGGAAATTATGAAAGCTCAGATTCCCAGGAAGCTATATTCCACTCCATAATTGTTTCCATCTCAACACAGATTTTATGAGTCAACTCCATGGGCTGGAGCATAACAGTGCCTATACTAATAAGATGACAGAAGTTCAAGCACTGCTATAATCTTTGCTTCCAGGTACAGTGCACTCTTCTGGCACATGGATGAATCCAACTGGTCCCCTTCCACTGACAGAAGGGATTTTGATTCATAAGTTGTGTGCACTAACATTAGAGGATGAGTGATTTTTTTCAGTCCCTCTTCCCTTCTGCAACTCCCAGTAACCTGCTAAAACCAGCTCCATAAAGTTGAAAGACCCTTCAGAACAATGTCGAAGGTGGCACGGGACTGCAGGAGTCATCAGTAATAACAGTGTTTCCTCCTTTTTTATTATCAAACATCTCTATTGGAACAAAAGCCCTATCCTGAGTGTGAGGGCCCTCAATGGATGGTACCCTATACCAATAAAAGTTAAACAATGAAACCATATTTATTAATGTCTGAGTAATCAATATTTATATACATCACTGTACATATTCGCACAACATAGGTTAGGTCAACCCTTAAAAAAAAAAATACTAACTTTCTCTCACTCTGTAGTTCATCTTTTTTGTTCTTCACTTCATAGTATTTTCTGTCCAGTTCTTCAACACGAGCTTTCACTTCATTAAGATCCTGATCCAGTTTCTAATGCATAAAAGAAGGTATTTTAAAATTCAGCATCTCATGATTTTAATTGACTCCAATACATTTTGTTCCCTTAAGCGGCAGAATTATGTTCAGAATAAAATAAAAGAACCTATTTACAGCTTGTAGAGAACACTGATAAGAAACTAAAGCTACAACTGAGCAATTTAGATTTTTGGCTACTTTCAGCATAGGGTACATTTGACTACAAAGATAGAACAGTCATATTTGACAATTGCTTGGAAGGTTTTCATTCACGGCTCAAGCCCATGCGAACAGCGAGGTGATATGGAGTATGCTCTTTATATTGTACTGGCCCCACATACTCCAGATCCATTTTACATCTGCACATTTAATGAGCCCAGGTCCAACCTGTACAATCTTTGCTCTGCAACCCGCCCCGCCCCCCATTCAACATGTCCTATGCATGGAAAAATGAGAGACCAGGTTAAGGGGTTAGTAGTTTATATGAGGCAGGATTGGGCAGTAGAGTTCCAAACTCACACTGCATGTCTTCTAAAAATATTCAGGAAACAGGATGACAAAATATAGGGTTGAACTTGTAGCTTACTTAATTATACCATAATTACACCTCCAGTTTTTAAAAACAAAATCATAGAACTTAAGATAATGGGTTACATCTAACAGGGAGTTCACACAAGGTAGCTCACACAAGGAGAACTTGCCATTTCTTCTTCCTCCTCCTCACCACTCCCCCCCCCAAAAAAAATGTATTTGAAAGTTACAATACATTTTCTATCAACATATCCCCTCCACAGACACCTCTGTGATGGTGATGGCATTAAACTATGCTGCTCTTCTTCAATAAAAGAGAAAAAGGGAGACCAGATCGTGTCAAAGGTCTCTTTTTTTGAGATGCCTTTGATTAGTCACCAATGGTATGCCTCCTCCCCACCGATTCCTAGGTGTCATGACCTGGGACCCAGATGGATGTTGTGGCCTAGGACGTATGTCAGAACCCATAGCAAGCACACCTATGCTCACACCCTCTGTCACAGAACACATCTCTGATACTGTACACAAGTGACCTCAGCTTCCTAAGTGCTGAGGCTGCTTAAACACGTTATCACATCCACAACCACAACTGTCCTGTACTGGAAATGTACTGGAAATATAGCCACCTCTCTCCTGCCTGCTTATTTTGCAAGGAATTCAGTCCTGTCTTGGCCTTGAAGCTTGGATAGCTTGCTAATTTTCCCTGCAACCCCCATCTGAGAATAGAAGCTGCATTTTTGTCTTTTTGCTAACAAGCAGTGTCTCTCTTATCAGCTTCCAAAGCAGAGAAAAGCAAGCTAACCTTGGTAGATCTTCTAAGAAGAGAAGCAGTACATTCTTCTTACCCAGATTAGGCTTCATGTAACAGATAGCAGAAAGGCTGGCAGCATAGAATGCAACATTTGTATGAGTCAATAGTAAATTTATTTTCTTTGCTTAGAACTATGGTACTGCACAGTACATAGGAGCATGTCTTGAGCATGCGTAGAGATAGCCAATTAGGATGGCTTAAGCTTCTGTCATAAATGCACACTTTTCTATAAAATTATTAAAGTTTTCTGCACCCTTTGTTTGGGGTTCCAGCTTTTCAGAGATATCTACTGGGGCCTCTAGATTTATGTTGCAGCAACAAATATGAACTCCTTCCACGTGCTGAGTTTGTCTTCTTTTGGCTGAAGGATCAGTGCTTTTATTCCACCCTCCTTTGTAGGGTAACACCACAGGAGCGTCTCCTAATGCCTCCTTCTCACATTCCAGATGTTTCTCAAGGGTTCCCTGAATCTCAAGAGTATTTACGGGAGAGAGGGGGCACGGAATTTCGACTGTGCCAGCATAGTGCTGAACGCAACCCAACGCGTATGAAGCCACACCCAACATACAGAAACCCTGATTATATACAGTACTTATAATTTACCGATTCAAATATTTCTGTACCACCAAACTCAAATCCTTACACTATACTGCTCCAGATTCTTCTCTTTGTTAGCCTCCGTGTCTTCTAAATCTTTATGTATAGCAGCAATCTGCCGTTTCTTGTCATTGATGGCTTGATCTAAGGATTTCAGTTCTTTTTTAATCCATTTATCTCTCTCTTCTTTTGATGTAAACTGACTTCCTCGACCTTGCTTTGCATAAAGATCTGTTCTTTCCTGGGTGGCCTGTGCCAGTCTGTTGGAAGAGAAAAATATAACTGAAACCTTTTAACATGAAATTATAATGCTATAAACCTAACAGAGAAGCATATTCTTCATATTTAACATGACACATCAAATTTGAATTAAACTGTAGCAGGGAACTGAAAGAAATCATTTCAAGAAACACTTGTGTTCTTTTCTTTCAATTTTGTTATTTAACAATTGCTTCTCTTTTAAACTTGTTTTATCACTTTCTACTCAATCATCTTCTATTTCAACAGGTCTCAGAAAGCAGAGAGAGAGAGAGAGGGAAAGCTTTGAAATTTTTTTGATAGTGAGGTAAGATATATACTATTTCCTTTATTTTATACTGTGTTTTGCTCAAATACCTATTACTATTATTTTGGAATTTTATCAAGCTCTCTCATTTAACTCCAACCATTAACACATTTACTCGGTGTGATGGGATGATGAGCTGCTTGTGCGTAAAATAGTATCCCCTCAGAGTTTGTTCAAGTCCACAAACCTCTGTCTGTGACGGAGCCCCTCAGACATGGCTCCTCTAGTCACTAGCAGATTCCGACAGTGGTTGCTTTCGGAATCGCTTCCAACATAAAAGCTCCTTAACGGAAACACGTCTTCTGGACTCTCTGCGTGACAGTTTCCGGCGAGGAGTGGGTGTTCCTACAGGAGGTCCTGAAACCTCCCCACTGTTTTCGCTGGAAGTGTCTCTGAGCCATCCCTCCAGCTCACTTTCCCTCAGCTCAGCTCCTCTCCCCTACTGGTTCCCTCTTCAGCTGCTGAGTCTCTCCCAACCTGTGTGAGCCCTTTCACCTCCCTTCCTTCCGATGGCAGTTCCCTGACATCCACCTCCCCTCCAGGGCCCCTTTCACCCCCTCTCGCCCCTTCCTCTACGGGCGGTGAGGAGGCAAAACCCCGGAATGAACTTCCTTCATCTTCCGATGTCTCGAACACTTCTCTCCACCTGTTGCGGTTCCTGGTCTCAAAGTACTCCTCCTCCTCAGAGTCCATCTCCCCTTCCCCTTCCGAGTCCGGGAATCCTTCCAACTCCTCCTCCTCATCAGTGGTCCCAAAGTATTCCCTCCGGAACCTCTCCACAGGCTGAGGTTTCCTTGGGAACCTTTGATGGAACGTTTCTATCAATACCTCGTCATTGATATCTTCGGCCATTACCCAAGTGTTTTCTGACTCCGGTTCTCCTTCCCACGCTACCAAATACTCCACCTGATCCCCTTCCACCTGGCGTCGAGGATTTCTGCCACATGGCTGCTGCATTCTCTTTCTTCTATGACCGGTCCCCGAGTGGCCATCCCTTCTCGTCCCCTTCGTACGGTGACAGTAACGACCTGTGAAATACTGGGTGCAGTTTCATGTGGTTGGGTAACCGGAGCCTGAAAGCCACTGGGTTGACCTGTTGAATGACCTCAAAGGGACCCAACCTCCTGGGTCTTAATTTCTTACAACCTCCTTTGAACGGCAACCCTTGGGTTGACAGCCACACCCTATCTCCCACCCTTATGGTTTCACCTTCCCTTCGGTTCTTGTCTGCCTGCCTCTTGTATTCTTCCTTCGCCCTTTCTAAGTTGAGTTGGAGCTGACGATGGATTGCTTCCATTTCTTCCACAAAATGCTCGGCTGCCGGGACGCTCCATCTCTCCCCATCTCCCCTGGGAAAGCCCTGGGATGACACCCATAATTAGCCAAGAAGGGGCTCATCCCTGTGGACACATTCTCGGCATTGTTGTAGGCAAATTCCGCCAGCGCCAACTTTTCTACCCAGTCATTCTCTCTGTCATTGACATAACACCTCAGGTATTGCTGGAGGACACCGTTTGCTCTTTCCGCCTGCCCGTTGGTTTCAGGGTGCCGGGCAGTCGAAAATTGACCTCCACCTGCAGTAAGCTCATGAGCTTCCTCCAGAACCTGGAAGTAAATTGTTTTCCTCGGTCTGAGACCACCCTCAATGGCACCCCGTGCAACCTAAAAATGTGTTCTACAAATAACTTCGCTGTCTCTTCCGCCGTGACTGCATGCGAGCAAGCTACAAAGTGGCACATCTTTGTTAGTAGGTCTACCACCACCATGATGGCTGTTTTCCCTTTGGACTTCGGCAGATCAGTCATAAAATCTATCGACACTGCCTCCCAAGGTCGTTCTGGGGTTGGTAAGGGTTCTAATAGCCCCGCCGGCGCCCGCCTTTCCCCTTTGGCTCGCTGGCATTGCTCGCACCCTCTTACATACTCACGTACATCTTCCCTCACCTTAGGCCACCAAAATTCCCTGGTGACCAACCACATGGTTTTGTGTTGTCCAAAATGCCCCGCCGTAGGGCTGTCGTGCAACTGCTTGAGTACCCACCCCGTAAGTCTCCTTCAGGGATATACAGTGCCCCTTTGTAATACAAAGCTCCATTTCTTTCCTCGAAACCCCTGGTTCCTCTCCCTCACCCCTAAGACCTCTGAGCTTATTCTGGGCGTATTCATCATTCTCTGTTTCCTCTACCAGTTCTCTTTGTCCCACCAATGCCGCCCCACACACCCAGCGGTCCTCTGGAATGACATGTCTCTCTTCGGGTGCTCCCTCCCCCCCAAATATTCAGGTTTGCGTGAGAGAGCGTCCGCCCTAATGTTCTCTGGGCCTGGCACGTAACCAATCTCAAAGTTAAATTTGGAGAACTCCTGGGCCCATCTCACTTGCCGTTGGCTGAGCACTCGTGCCGTCCTCCAATACTCTAGGTTCTTGTGGTCAGTGCACACTTGCACCTTATGTTGTGCGCCAATTAGCAGGTGCCTCCATCTCCGGAACACCTCATGAATGGCTAGTAGTTCTCGGTCATACACCGTGTAGTTCCTCTCGGATTTGTTCAGCTTTCGCGAAAAAGCACACGGTCTCCACTCTGACTCCTCCTTCCCTGGCTGCAGAAGCACCGCCCCAATCGCTCTGTCTGATGCGTCAGTTTCCACTCTCATCGGTTTTTGTAAATCCACATGCAGGAGTTGTTGTTCCGAGGCGAAGGCCCTTTTTAGTTCCTCAAATGCTCGCTCCGCCTCCTCAGTCCAAACGAACTTCTTCTTACTGCTGAGACAGTCCGTAATGGGCGCCGTCAGGTGGGCAAAGTTTCGGATGAACTTACGATAGAAGTTCCCAAATCCTAGGAACCTCTGCACATCCTTCCTTGTTTTGGGTGTTTTCCATTCCAGCACCGCCTGGACCTTGCCGGGATCCATGGCCAATCCCTTGTCTGACAGGCGATACCCCAGGAATTCCACCTCCTTGGTATGAAACTGACACTTCTCCAGTTTCACCCACAGCTGGTTGGCTTGCAGCCTGCTCAACACTTCTCTGACGTCTCTCACATGCTGCTCCTCATTCTCAGAATACACCAACACGTCGTCTAAAAAGGCCACACAATTCTTGTAAAGCAAAGGCCCCAGGACGTGGTTCATAAACGATTGAAAGCATGCGGAGCCTGCTTGTAGGCCGAAGGGCATAACCAAATATTCAAATGCCCCTAAAGGGGTGAACATGGTGGTTTTCCATTCATCCCCCTTCCTTATTCGTATCAGGTTGTACGCCCCCCTTAGGTCCAGCTTTGTGAAAATCTTCCCTTCCGCACCCTTGTCAAAATGTCGTCAATCCTGGGCATAGGGAAGGCCACTGGTTCTGACACTGCATTTAAGGCCCTGAAGTCACACACCAGCCTCGGCTTGTTCGTGTTTTTTTATCCACAAAAACACTGGGCTGCCCCCACCGCCCTGGACTCTCTGATGAACCCTCTCTTCAGGTTCTTGTCAATGAACTCTCTTAGCTCCTGCATCTCTCTGTCTGACATGGCGTACAGCTTGCCTACAGGGAGCTGTGCCCCAGGGAGTAAATTGATTTGACAGTCAAAGGGTCTATGCGGGGTAGTTGGTCAGCTTCCCTTTCGCTGAAGACGTCGCGGAGATCTGCGTATTGTCGTGGTACCTTCACGTTCTCCGTTACTTCAGTCCCTGCTAGGGTGGCTTGGGCCCCTGCCAAACCCTTTCCCTCTTTGCAGTGTTCTAAGCAATGTGCTGAACCAAAAGAAACCACTCTCTGATGCCAGCCCACCAGCGGATCATGTAACGCTAGCCAGCTCATCCCCAATATAATGGGAGCTCCTCCCAAGGTGGCCACATTAAACGCTATCAGTTCGGTGTGCCTTGCCACCTTCATTATCATTGGGACGGTCTGCAAGCTGACTTCTCCTCCCAACAGCTCCCTGCCATCGATCGTGGTCACCTGCAGGGGGTTGCTTAAAGGGATCGTCTGTATCTGGTGTTCAGCTGCAAACTCTTTGCTCATGAAATTGCAGGAGCTGCCTGAGTCCAACAGCGCCTTTATCTTTAGAGGGTGTCCGTTTGGCAGCTCTAGCGCCACTTCTATCACTAGGGCGGGTTTAGGAGGTTCTGGCGTGGGCACTCTCACTGCTCTTTGGCCTGGCTGCTGTGCCCCGACGGTGGCAGCCAGGCGTTGGCTTTTACTTGCTCCGGTATTTCTTCCTCTCTTCCCTCCACAGCTCCTACCATCCCTTGCCATTCCTTCCTCTGGGGGCAGACTCTGGCAAAGTGACCTGGCTGTTGGCAGAGATAGCATTTCCGGGCGCGTTTTCCCTCCTTCTTTCCCCTCACTGGGCTTTGAAACTGCGCGCGCGCGCTGTTCCGATTTCCATCGGCTCTGCCGGCGGGAAAGTTGGCTCTGGAATGTCTGGAATGCGGAACTCCTTCCAACGTTCCCCTTCCCTTCCCGCCTCTCCAATGCTCTCGCCTCCTGGCGCGCTCCTATGGTCAGCGCTGATTTGGTCAGCTGGTCCATAGACTCCGCCCTGGGCGCCCGGGAAAGTTCGTCTTTCACAGCCGAAGAAAGCCCTTCTTCAAAGAGCATTTGAATGGGTTCCGCCGATAAGTCCCACCCCAATCTGTGAACCAGCATGGTGAACTCAGTCCAGTACTCACGGACAGATCGGCTCCCTGTTTGCAAGCCATTAACTGTCTGCGCACCACTCCCTGTTCAATATCGCTGGAAAACATCAGATCCATGGCGCGAAAGAACTTCATCGTGTCCTTTAGGACGTCACTATTCGCTGCCATCAGGGGTCTAACCCAGTCTCTCGCCCCCTTTTCAAGATGCCCAATCACGAAAGCCACTCGTGATTCCTCGTCAGGGAATTCATCAAACTGCAGATTGAGGGCATATTGCATCTCTGTCCGAAAGCCATGATAGTCTTTGGGCTCCCCAAACTTCTGCACCAATCCTGGTACCTTTCTGGCGAGCTGGGTGGCTTTCCCTTTTGTCTGCATCCTGAGCCCTCCTCTCCTCAAGCCTCGCCGTCTGCAGCGCTAGCTGGACCTCCAACACCCGGTACCTTTCTTCCAGGCTTGGACCCGCTCCAGCTCCTGCTTCTCCGGTTCCGGCTGGGTTGCTCATGATGCCTTCTCCTGCACAAGCTGCTTTCAAAGACTGTCGGAATGCTGTGATGGGATGATGAGCTGCTTGTGCGTAAAATAGTATCCCCTCAGAGTTTGTTCAAGTCCACAAACCTCTGTCTGTGACGGAGCCCCTCAGACATGGCTCCTCTAGTCACTAGCAGATTCCGACAGTGGTTGCTTTCGGAATCGCTTCCAACATAAAAGCTCCTTAACGGAAACACGTCTTCTGGACTCTCTGCGTGACAGTTTCCGGCGAGGAGTGGGTGTTCCTACAGGAGGTCCTGAAACCTCCCCACTGTTTTCGCTGGAAGTGTCTCTGAGCCATCCCTCCAGCTCACTTTCCCTCAGCTCAGCTCCTCTCCCCCTACTGGTTCCCTCTTCAGCTGCTGAGTCTCTCCCAACCTGTGTGAGCCCTTTCACCTCCCTTCCTTCCGATGGCAGTTCCCTGACACTCGGGAATGCAATGGGATTTACTTCTGAACTGACATCTCTAGGACTGCACTGTTAGGCTCAGATTGGTCAGCACTTTCAAACATAAAAATCCCAAGCCTCTATCTGTTGACAGAAAACATTTTGTTTTCAAGTGGCAGAAGGAAAACACTAAGCTCTTCTACTCAATCCTGTGCCACTACCTCTTACAGAGGACAGCTCCATCCATTCTACTAGTATGTGTCTTCTCTCTCTTACAGGGAAGTTCAAAGATCATAGAATCATAGAGTTGGAAGGGACCCTGAGAATCATATACTCAAACCCCAGCAATGCTGGAATATGCAGCTGTCCCTTATGGGGATTGAACCTGCAAACTTGGCATTATCAGCACCATGCTCTAACCGAGATAACCATGCCAAATGTATTCCAAATTATTTTCTTGCTCATCGCATGATCTATACTAGAACCTTTCCAATTCCTTCACAAAAGAAGAGCTTGTATATGCAGAAGTATTCCTCATTGCACATGCTAAATACTTCCCCTTCATACCATTGCTAATCAGCACACAGACCTGGCAATTCCTCGTTCCTCTTTTTCTTTTACACTATTGAACTTTGGTTCTGTTTCTGCTAGTTCTTTCTGTTTTTCTTCAATTTTCTCAAGAAGTTTCTGCCTCTCTTTCAAGAGTCTTTTCTGGAAAAAGAGACAATATGAAGGTCAACAATAAGTAAGGGAAGTGGTTTATCAGAATATTTTTGGGGGTGAAAAGAATCAGTAGCTATAGAAGCACTAGAAATTATATGTTCAGAAAAGCTTTGGTCCAGTTTACAGCTTACCAAACTTCAAAGCAGCATCTGTGCATCCCCAATTTTAATAGAGCTACTTAGCAATAAGCTATCATAGACTGCTGCCTTTAACAAGAACAGTAATCTGTGAACAAGCTCTTCTTGTGGAATGCTATTAAATAAGAACTTCAATAAGAAATTTATACGGACAGCACGAAAGCTTGATATAGTTCAAATCAATCTGCCATTGGCTGCTTTTATAGATTTTCTCAATATGTACCAACCGTAGTCTATGTACAGACTTCTGCTTACTCTGCATCCATGGCACACTCAGCACTGGCTTGGAAAGTGGTACATAAACAAAGTTAGCCATAATTCATATCTACTCTGTTGTTTCTTATGAAATATTGTACTTTAATGTGTTACCCCCCCCCAAACCAGTTTTGATCCAAATAGAGAAAAAGAATAACCTTGCTGTGTTTTAATTAGAAAGACAGGTGCTCTTTTTTCACTATGGCAGTCTAGATAACCAGATAACAGAGAACAACTGTCATCGTACCCCTGCTGTCCTTTTATAAAACAGAAGAATTATTTGCCCTGCGGTTTTTACATTCTAATGAGAGAGTCCCAAAAGACAAAATAAAATACACCTTGACATGTTATCCTACAACTAGCCTCCAGCCCTTACCCGTTGTTCACTATTTCCAGCCAGTTCATCTTGCAAGTCTTTTGTTTTAAGCTCTAGTTTGGTCCTCTGTTTAATCTGTTCCTGTCTTTCGGCACTGAGCTGCTCCTTTTCTTCCTTCATAGCTGAAATCTTGGTTTTAAGTTCTCGGACCTGCCGTTCAATTTCCTACGAACACAACACATCAACAGAAGATTGGAAAAGTACAACAGGTTACATAATTTTAAAACTAAAACAATTCTCGGTACATGATAGGTCTAGCCAGGGAGATGCACATATAGTGTGACATGTCACCAAATGCACTCTCTATCAACAATGCATCATATGGATGAAAACATGCAATTCTGTCTTTTTCACACCCCATCCAGAGTCTCTGTTGCTTGTTACTATGGATTAAGGCAAATGTAAAACAGAAGCAACTACTAACTCATGTGCCCAATCTATGAGGACTTAAGAGCAGCCTTGTGCAAAGATTTAAATCTCCTACTTGAGAGATCTACTGTTTGATTAACTTTTATGAGTGAGCAGGTCCTCCTACACTTCTGAAAAAATGACCTGTTCTGCCTTTAGAACAATTTTAAGGAGAAACGTTTGTGGGGATGAAAAGTTAAATTCTTCAGGGGAGCAAACTTTTATCTGACAGAATGCCTTGTTTTCATAATTTTTTTAACTGTGTTTTTTTTAATTCTGTTTTTCACATTAAAGGTATTTATATAGTTTGTTTTTTGTAATGGCTTTGGCTACACAAATAAATAATAATATTTGTTTTAAAACAGTTATTTAGATCAGAACAGTTCTGATCAGAACAATGAAGACCTCACCTCCATTTTATCTCGAGCATCCTGCTGTGCATCTCTTAATTGCCTTGATTTTTCTCCACTTGTTTCCCTTTTGGCAGAAAGCTGAAAAAACATCAGTTGTGGGTTAACATGCACAACATAACTATATTTTTTAAAACTACGTATGTTGAAAAACAAACGCTGGTAACGAAAATAATAATAAATAGTTTAAAAATGGCTTACCTCATCAAGTTTAGCCCTGGTTTCATTAAGTTCCTGATTATAAATGGTGTACTCCAGTGCTCTTCTCATTTTATCCCACTTTTGATATTGAGCAAGCTCTTCTTTCTCCTCTTCCAAAGTATGTAATCGCTCTTCTATATATTTCAACAGCTCATTTATTTTCTCCCTTTTCCCCTCTTTAGAAATGATTTAAGAGTTTAGAAGACTAAGTTAGTATCAGGAATCTGTCATTAAACAGAACAACAAAACCAACTACATGGCAGAAATGCTCTTTTAAACAACATGTCCTAACTGGGGGAAATCCACTAAGCATAATAGCTTGTATTCTCAATGGTTATGATAAAAAGTTGCCTATGATTTCATTATTTATATTAAATCTCAAAATCAATGATTCATATTTTCTATTGTTCAAAATAACCAAATGACAAAGCAGAGTTAACCACATACAGCATCATTAATGATTTATTTTAAAGGAAAAATAAAGAGATTAATTGAAAGAAACTCCTCATAACATGAAGGCAGGTAGCAAACAGCTACACCGCAACTAGGGATAAATGTGCAGTTCCCAGTCTGATTCAGTACACTGCTCTCTCAGGAAAATCACCAATAACTCCAGTAAGCTCTTTGGGAGAATAGCTGAATTTAGCTAAGTCATGTGCACCTTGAATCAACATGACTGATTTACGGCAGGGAACCCTTTTTCTAGCCAAGGGCCATGAACCCTTCTGGACAACAATCTGGGGGCTACATGCTAGGGTGGGAGAACCAAGAGGGAAAAGTGGGTGGAGCAATGAATGTGAATTTTACCATTTTACAGTACACTAGTTTTACATACACACTCCTCTTTCCTCCATCTGGACAAGCAAGAGTCATTATCAGAGTTCAAGGAGAGACTTCTGATAAGCAAAAACATTCAAGGTGGGCATACAGTAGAGCTGGTGGGGTGTGTGGCCTGAGGAGACAGGGTGTTAGCCTCAAAAGGCTCCTCAGAGGCCTGATAGGCTGTATTTGGCCCCTGGGCCCAGGGTTCCTTCCCCCTGCTTTAAATATGCACAACCTTAATAGAAACATGCAGATATGCAGTTGGACCATAATGGATGCATCATAGAATTCTACACCATAACAATAATTTCCAGATTGTGTCTTACCTCATTGTTTCATATCCACTGTTTCAGTGCATTCGCAGCAAGCCAGAAAATACACTAAATATATCAAAGTAACATGACATGAAAATACTTTGAAATGCTACTGAATGATAATCTTTACCTGTTTCTTTCATTAAGGAGATACTCTCTTCTTTACGTTCATCATATACCCTAGTGCCAGCTACTTCTCTTAACAGTTTTAATCTCTGAGAGTCAGGAGCTGTGGCCATCTGGTTGATCTAAAAAAGAGAGTAAGAATAATGTAACATTTTGGACACAGTTTGAAAAAGCAACAAGTAACTATAAAGTTTTCATAAATGCTTTTTTAGACAAAAAATTATTGCAACAAAATCTCCAATGACACTGCTGCAGCAGCATTAGCAATGATGAGCAGGTGTCACTGTCAACACAATACAGTGGTACCTACGCTTCAGGTTACAGACTCCGCTAACCCAGAAATAGTGCTTCAGGTTAAGAACTTTGCTTCAGGATGAGAACAGAAATCGTGCTGTGGTGGCGCGGCAGCAGCAGGAGGCCCCCTTAACTAAAGTGGTGCTTCAGATTAAGAACAGTTTCAGGTTAAGTATGGACCTCCGGAACAAATTAAGTACTTAACCTGCAGTACCACTGTACTAAGCATTTATGTGCTAGAACAGGGGTTGTCAACCTGGTCCTTACCGCCCACTAGTGGGTGTTTCAGGATTCTAGCTAGGAGGTTCTATGGCACAAGCTGAATCCTCCTTCCATCAAGGACTGGTGGGCGGTAAGGAAATTTTACCATCAAGAAAGATGCATTAGTGGGCAGTAGGTATAAAAAGGTTGACTACCCCTCTGCTAAAGTCAGGAAAAACTTGTACATTTTGTAACTAGTGTTAACAAATGTTTGGTGAAAACTCAACCAATCTATATGCCTAAAACTGATACTGTCAGGTCTATCTGAGCATACAAAGTTACATGCAATTTTCTCATCTGAAAGTATGACTGTATAGGAGATTCTTTAGGAAAAAATAATTTGGTATAGTTAATTTATCACTGCTCAAATATTCAGTTTAAATTGTCACTATCATTATGCTACTGCTACACTCCAGCACCATAAAAACGTAACTGACAGAAAGAATACCACAAGAATTGAAGCATGCTAACCAGACAGCAGCTACAGTCACATATCATGGGATTTTTCAAATTATTATGAACACATCCAATGATTAAGGAAATATACATCAATTAAAATAGAATGTAAAATAATATGCCTACTTATTAGAGAACTACTTATTCTTCACATTAAAGTTACTATTGTTCTTTGTTCAAAGGATAGTAATCATCATACCTTTCCTTGCTTGACAATATAGTAGGGGTTGCTGCGAGAAAATCCAGCACTTTCAAGAAGGTTCATCACATCATTTTTCCTGGAAGCAAGTTTTCAAACAGTAAAGCTTTCAGTGCATCAGTTTAGAATGAGCTAAATAATACAGGACAAAAATAACAATTGGCCTGCTTCCACTAGACTCAGACATGAAAATTTCTTCTGTTTCATTTAAGTGCTTGCTGCTCAGTCCTCCTTCTACATGGGAAGTAACAGGTTGAACAGAGGGGTCAGGCTGTGCCCTGGCCAAAGGCCTGGTGGAACAGCTCTGTCTTGCAGGCCCTGCGGAAAGATGTCAAGTCCCGCAGGGCCCTAGTTTCTTGTGACAGAGCATTCCACCAGATCGGAGCCACAGCCGAAAAAGCCCTGGCTCTGCTTGAGCCAGCCTAACCTCTCTGTGGCCCGGGACCTCCAAGATGTTTTTGTTTGAAGACCGTAAGGTCCTCTGTGGGACATATTTGCTAACCCAAAGATTGCAGGATCCTTTTTGTAAGCAAACCAAGAACTTTTCCTTTAAATAGTTTGTGTCTTGCCAAATGCAAGGTGGCAATTTGGAACCTTTTTTCTTCTTTATTTTACTACCAGAAGATGAATACTTGTTTGCTGGAAACTCTGTGCGTTACACATTCACTTATTTGCAAAAATAAATGCCTGTGATTTATTCTAACGCGTACTTCCACGGCGAGTGTTTGTTTAAAGGTGGATGAGGGCAGATATAAATCTAACAAAGCTTTACTGTGCTTGGTGCAAATGCCAGAGTTGGACTGTCTCTTCCAAACCTCTCTCCCCAATATGGAATAACACCCCCAGAACAGCAAGTGGTGGGTGTGCAGGCAAGGTGCAACTTTCTGCAACGTCTTGGAGAGACACAAAGATTGGAAGAGCACACCGCTGAATTCCACCTACAATGTTTCAAGCCCCTTCCCCCACAAACAAACATGAAGACTGAAACAGTAATCAAAACTGTTTTTCAGAAAAACTGAAGACTGAGATTTTCTAGGTTCCAAAATGAACTTGCAAACATCAGAAGAGCACCCAGCTATGAGCAAGCAAGCAAGCATCACATACTTGTCATTCATCCTGGATTCCTCCTATTCATTTGTCAACTAAATATAAAACGTCTCTAGTTGACTTACATACGTGATTTTTAAAATGATTGTCAAGTTTAACAATAAAACATTCCCCCCCCGCCAAAAAAACCTGTTATGGTGTACATTTAATCCAGATTTGGTTTAAAAGAAAAAAGGAACTGCGCTTACGTCACCATTTTCTTGTCTAGGAAATACTGGTCCTTTTTAGCGCCAATGACTCTGCGAAGAGATACTTCTTCTTTATCAATCTTAATAAAACAGAAGGGCAGATATTGCAAACTATGCCTCTTAATATAAACTAAGGAAAACAAGCTGATGTACACTATTTTTAACTTACTGGTAACCTGTTGTCCGAGTTGTCAAAGATGATTTCCACAAAAGCAGAAATAACACGAGGACCTGTGCCTTCCTAAGAAAGATCATAATATTAATCCACATTTTAAAGTGCGTACTTTGTATTACAATCTTCCCCATGCCATGCCCATTTTTCAGTGATTTAATAGCTTTGTAACAACTTTATTTGTTTTCTAAATTAGACTGCTCTAATGAAGCCTTTTGGTGGGAAACCACTAATGAATTTAAGTATGAAACTAAGCTAACTTCAGATTCTCAGAAAAAAAATCTGAGAATGTTCAAGGCCTCTTGTTCTAAGTGTACATTGCATCTCTAAGCAAGTAAACCTTTTCCAAACAGTGGAATGCCTACTACTTATTGAGGGATTTTTATTTCATCTTTCCCCTCAAAGAGTACCCAAGAGAGCTGATCAAGGTTAAACTCCAAAAGTATAAATACAGTGGTGCCTCGCAAGACGAAATTAATCCGTTCCGCGAGTCTCTTCGTCTTGCGGTTTCTTCGTCTTGCGAAGCACGGCTATTAGCGGCTTAGCGGCTTTAAGAAAAAGGAAACAAACTCGCAAGAACTCGCAAGACGAGTTCTTGCGAAGCAAGCCCATAGGGAAATTCGTCTTGCGGAACGACTCAAAAAACACAAAACCCTTTCGTCTAGCGAGTTTTTCGTCTTGCGAGGCATTCGTCTTGCGGGGCACCACTGTAATAGCACCACCTACTTATCATTTCAACAAATGCAAGTAACATGCACCATTGTTCCAGCTAACTATTTTACAACAATAGCATGCTCATGTCTAACTGTTATCTTCACTTACATGCAACAAAGCCAACCTTTGCTCAGGACGAAGATGACTGAATTCATCACTGAGAACAAACTGAATTGCTATAATGAAGAAAATAAAGTACGATGTTAATTTTTAGGATTCTGTTCAGAAGTATTCAGAACTATCAATCAACAGTTTTTATGAATCTCTTATAAATAACAGCATAGGTTGCATTCAATGTGTTGCAAAACTTGGACAAATGTTAAAGCAAGGATCTCTTCAGGAATTTTTCAATTACTTCAGTTTGAAGCAGAGCCCAGATGCCTGCCCCACAATGACCAACTAAATAATAATTACAACACTTTGAGAGACACATTTTCCTGCTTTCATCTACCCTCTCCCCCCAAAATACACACTCCACTAGTGACCACTCCACTAGGTCCACTGCCAGGCATTAGCCAGCGTCCGGCCATGGATATCAACCACTAAACATGCCACACACTCAGCAAGTGAACCCATCGCCAGAGTGAAGGAGGTTGCAAGAGAAGGGGATTAAAAGAAACTAATCAGTCTTGCAATTAACGTTCCCCAAGCAATGCACTTCTCAGGCAAGGCACATAGGGATATGGAAGGAGTTGGAGAAGACATTTTAGATTATTATACATAAGCTTTCACTTACCATAGAAAAAGTTGCTTTTTCCAGAACCATTTCTGCCCACTAAAAAGAAAAATTAAGTTACACATAAGGGTAGGTTAAATTGTGTATTTTCAGTAAATAATGTTTCTAAATTGAGGATTATAGACTAGCTGTAAAACACATAGACAAATGTATGTAAAGAGTGGAAGATCAATGACAATAAATTATAAGGTTGGCCGAACTGCCACCTGACCCATCTCCATGGGACTCCATTGTGTGTTATCAACTCTGCAGCTCAGCAGAGTGAGAAAGACTCTTTAACATATGTTTGTCCTGTATAATTGCCCCTTCTCATTTGAATGCCAGCAACAGCCAGTCACTCTGATAGAAAATAAAGGTGAACTATGAATATAAAATAATCCTAATAGTTATTATGGCTTATGAAAACCAGCCAATTTTCAATAAAAACAATCTGTATGATGACATTCTCTAACTTTCAAGAGTTTGACTACTTGTCACCAAATTCTTTTCAGCAGTCCCCTTACTTTGAAATGCATGTACCTCCCCACTAGTGTCTTTAGATTATACAGGAGAATAGCTAATCATTGTACTGGTAATCATATTTTGTAATGTTCTCCTGGGGAGAAATTCTTTTAAAGAAATAACCTGTCCTTCCTAGGTCATACACTAACAAATTTTTTGTGTGAGCTTCCACTGCAGTTTGGGATTCTGGCCATGACAGAGGGTATCATGTGGGAAGGCTACAGCCCTGCTTGTGGATGAATGGAAAAGAACTGAACTAGAATAAGCTATTATAGGGACATCTTCCCTCTCCAATCCCCAGAAGAGAACTATTCCCTGACTTGGCCATATGAATGGATGGTTTTCAAGTTTGAAATGGATTTTTATTTTGTTAAGATTCTATCACACTTTCTTCCTAAGAGTTTATACTAACATAGTCTTCTCCCACTCACCTACATTTTACTAGCACAACAACGTGAGAAACAATGACTCCTAATGGGATCTCCCAGTAACATCCATAGGAAAACTAGTACTTGAATCTGGTCTCCTCAGTTCACCACTGGTGAATAACCTTTCGATACAGTTCTGGATTGCTTTCTTAACTATGTGGTATTTTTGTCTCTCAGCATGGCATAAATTCTGGTCAAGATACAAGAACATTCTGAACTACTAACTGACAGATAAAGAGGCAAGAAGAAATGTTATCTCTTTCTAGGCTATGCTGTGAAAAGGTTCTATTTTCCTTGCAACAATATTTGTGAAGAAACCTGTGTTTATTAGAAGGAATCCCCTTTTGAAACTTACAGGGCAATGCAGAAACCTTCAAGCCCTTCAGGGAAAAACTATATAAACACTCAAGGAATAGCAACCACCTCACTATGAAGAACAAATAATATTTCTATCACCTCCATGAAGAGGCTCACTTAAACGATACACATTTAATATTATAGTCATTGTCCTAGAAAAACTTACCAATGACATTATGCTTTGAACTGAAGGGATCTACTATAGTCTGATCTCGGTAGCTTCGGAACCCCTGGATGATCACCTGAAATAAACAAGTGCAAGTTTTTAAAGTGGCCAACAATACCATCATTATTTGCTATCACCTGCAGCTTTTATAACTACATGTTTTAAAAGAGAGTAATATTTTTCAAAGGTACAATATTCATTGTTGTACTTTCTAAACTACAAGTTACTTGAGAATTAGCAGGAAGCATACTTGGGGAAGGACTATATAGTCACTAGGAAGCATTAATGGATGAGCAGCTGGAACAACAGCAGCAGCAGCAACATCCAGTGCCCTAAAAAAATAGACATTGTCTATTATCATCTCTCCAGGTTTTTTGGGGTTTTTTTACAAACTTTGTATACCATAGAGAAAACTTTGTTAATATTAATTATTAATAATATTAATTTATACAGTTCCTAATTATTACAATCCTATAAAGTTGCCCCAAATCAACAACTCATCAAAGATATGCAGAAAATAAAACCTGGTTTTGCTGCATCAAATCATACCCTTTACATTGCACCGGCCCTCTCACTTTTGGCTCTTCATCCCAAATTCTATAGGTGATTAAGACACAAATTTAACAATAGCTTTTACTTTTTTACATTTAGCCTAATCATATTAAATCAATTAACTCTTTAAAAAGCCAGATCTTACCAGTGTGACATGTAAACATGAAACAATACCACTAATTACTAAACAGCTAGCATCATATACCGGTATATAATGTTTGCAACTCTGCTAATAAAATAATTTCAAAAAAGATATCACACGTAACTCAGTAATTTAAGTACATGAGTTCAGCCTGCAAAGAAGCCACACAGGAACGAAGCCTTATCAGTGCTTGGAATGTGGGGAATGTTTTGCTTGTCAGCCAAATTTTGCAGCACTTAAGAGAATCCGCACAGAAGAGAAAGCCTATCAATGTTTGAAGTGTGTGAAATACCTCACTCAGGACTCACACCTAAGAATGCACAAGTCCACACAGGAGAGAAACCTTATGAACATCCAGATTGTGGGAAATGACATACTCAGGGGTTTCATCTTGAAAGTCACCAGGCAACCAACTCTGGACAAAAAGAGTGCATATGCCTACAGTGTGGGAAATATTTCTCTTACATATCCCTCCTTGCTAGTCATTGAAGAGTGCATACTAGAGAAAAACCTAACAAGTGCCTTCGAGTGTGGTAAATGTATCAGTCTGAGCACACACCTCAGGACTCATTGCAGCTTGCACACAAGAGAAAAACAATATAAATGTCTGGAGTGTAGGAAATGTTTCAGCCCATACAGACATCTTTTGATCTATCAGAAAGTCGACATATGACACCAACAAAATCATGCTAAACCTTGAAAACCCCATACAACACAAACTTTGTAGACAGGCCATGCCTCCCCAAACAGTGGAAAACAATGAAGCAAATCCACACAGGAAAGGTATGTATGAATGGCTTTCATGATGGGAAAAGACACTGCCTGTATAAACTGTCTGTTCATTTAAAAAAATGAAAATTATCCAGGGCTAGTGGGGAGAAAAGGAACCCATATATAGGAAAGAAGATCTATGGATACCATCCAGAGAACACTTAAGATTCAAAATAGAGTTTTGATAAGAAATCTGAAGAAACTGCACAATAGGGTATAAAATGTCCACGTCCTTTGAAAATTAGACAAAGAGTTGTAACCTGAAAAATGGTTCCTTGCTTCTCTTTTTGTGCTGGTTTTTGACAGTGATGCATTTACCTTCCAAATGGCCACACTTGTACATGATGTTAAACCCTATTTTGTTTTGAACTATGGTTTAACATGAATAAGCTTCCCCTGCTTTTTCTTGATGTGCTAGCATTGTGTTGTGTGCACCCACCTTGTGGTTTGAAAGAAACCACGAACACCTAGCTAGAATAAATCAAGGGTAAATAAAATGCAAAAACAAAAAAACAAAACCCCACAGTTCGCAAGAGTAGTTCCACATAGTGCAGATTGAGAAAGTGGGGAGGTCATCTTTAAATTCAATATTGCAGGTTTAGCTTTCAGCTTAAGTTAAGTGTAAGTTTCAAGTTTCAGTTGCAATGTTTAGCTGATAAACTGAAGAGTGGGCTGAAGGTAAAGTTAAAAGTTGAGCTTTGGCTAGGTTTTTAAACCAGTTAGAGATTATTACGTTTTTATCTCTCTTAGCGCCAAGGAGAATGCAAATCAGAGACTCAAAGTGTCCTTGGGAGATGCAGTTTTTCACAATAGGCAGGCAGGCAGAGAGCTGTCCTATGTATAACTGTCAGGAGCAATGCCTCAATGCCTTCCACATGTGCTGCATTAGGAGGATTTTGGGAATCACATGGCAGGGCAGTTTCAAACAAAGAATGTGCTCTCCCAAGCCCACATTCCCAGCACATTTGAACTTTGTCTCAGCAACATCTATGTTGGCTTGGTCATGTCCACAGAATGGAAGATGGCAGGATCCCCAAGGATGTGCTCTACAGATAGCTGGCTTCCAGCACCAGCAGACCAGCTCTTGTGATACAAAGATGTCTGCAAACATGACATGAAGGCTGGCAACATCAACCCCACCATGTGGGATGTCCTTTGCAGACAACTGCAGTGCCTGGAGACAAGACAGTCTGGTTGTGCATCCACAGCAGTGACCATAGGAGGAATGACAGCACCAAGAGAAGAAATGCCGTGGTGCATCTGCATCAGTACAACCAGATGCCTTCATCTGCCCTAGCTGCAACAAAACACGTCTCACCCCTATTGGTCTCTACAGCCACAGCAGGCGCTGCAACCTTCCAATGGTTTGACTTCACCGCCAAAGGCGAACTCTCCCTGAGACAGATGCACAACTACATGCATGGGGCCTTTCTTCTATGGTGGAGGGGGAAATGTCCAACTATGCAAGCCCACCTGCAATCTGATGTGTTGCAATCCAGGTTTGCCCCCCTCACCTACTAATGTTGGTGAGACCATAGCTTTTAAGCACAAGGCAGGGGCCTTCCTTTAACAAACTCAGAGGCCTGAGAAGGGAATACATACTTTTTTTAAAATACAAAAACTATTTTCTAGCATTCACATAATCCTGCCTTTTAACTGGATCCTTCCGGATTCTGAAGAGGAAAGTCTACCCCTGCAATGACACACAGCTACCAATATGGTATTCTGAACGTCCGCTCCAGATGGGCCCCAGGACTTCCCAGTGTTTACATCTCTCCCCGTCATGCACTGCAATACGCAGGCCATGGGCGAAACCACCTCCCCCCCCGCCCCTCATTCGAAAGTGGGATCCGCCAGAAAGGCCCTTTCGGAGATGACAGCCTCGGCCGCCCCCCTCCCTCCATCTATGGGATCATCCCGTGAGGAGAAAAAACCTCCCGAGCAAAAAGCCGCCGCAGCCCCCCTCGAGCCGAAGCCCCTCTTCTCCCTCCCCAAACCAGATCCTCCCCCCCCCAGCGAAACATCGTAGCCAGCGTCGCCCTCCCCCCTCAGATACTTTAATGAAGCCGCCCTCCCCTGCGACAGCGGAGCCACCTCATCACAAAAAGGGGCCCCATCACTCCGTTTACCTGTTTGATATACATGCTGGCGGCGGCCTCTCCTCAGCGCTGAGCCCGCCCCGCTCACAAACCACGGACAAAATGGCGGCGAAGCCTCCCCGATCCCGTTCGCCGCGGAACGCACCACTTAGTCTCTGGAAACAGGAGGGTTGGGAAAGGAAAGCACGAAGCGGCAGCGGAAAGCGCCCGTCCCTTCCCACGTCTTGAAGGCGCTGTTCTACCTGTGGTTTTCGCGTCGCATTCAGGATTCGGTGAAGTAGGCCTGCGAGCTAATAACGCGTTTCATCCCCCCCACCTCGTAGGAATTGGTTCAGCCCGACATGAACTTGTGTTGGGCGCCAAGGCGAGGTCAGCCAATGGGAGCGGGAGGAGAGCGCCAAACAGGAGACGGGAGGGTAATGGAGTGGGCGCTGGAGCGAAGAGGGAACGCTAGAGGGCGCTCGTCATTGTAGTGAAGGCGGGGCGGGGGTCGTTCTCATAGTGCCAAATCCCCCACCCGGACAAGAGGGAAGTGTCAGCATTCTTGGGAATCCTCCTGTTTGCTGCAGAAGTACAGAAGGAAGTACAGGAGGGGATAACGAAAGAGGCAAACCCGAAACAGCCCGGTTCTAAATGATGGCTGGTTGTTGAGGGCGGGGAGCAGAGAATTTGCGGGTGAAGAGAGGAATGGACCCTCATAGAAAAAGAGGATGGCGAGGATGCACAGGAGCACTCCACGCTGCAACATTTTGTTGTAGGTTCTTGCAATGCATGTAACATTGCTTATGTCGTAAGCACCGCCTTTTTAAAAGCAACCAAGGGTATTGTGGCCCCTGAAAGACCCACGCAAGCTGCAGTTCTATTGCAACATGTAAACCACCCCAAAAAGCTTGCAGTATGTGCAACCTATAGGTCCCTTAGCACCTACAAAATATCACCTCAAAACTTCACAATTCACAAGGTCTTCCCGTGTAGCTTCTGTTTGCAGTGGCTTGGCCTCTCCCCAACACTGAACTCACCCACCCCTCTCCCCAACATGCCCACATTTGATTGCCAGGATTGGACTTCCACAGTGGTGCAAAGAACTTCTGAGTGTGATGGTGGCTGAAGTAGGCGCTTTTTTCTGTTGACTGAGCCAGGGAAGCCCATATCATTTTGTGTTATGCCATTCCACACTCACACACTCAAATGCAGCCATTTTGCATTATGCCACAGAAACTATTTTATGATAGGTGTCCATGACACTTTTGGAAAACTCCAAATGTGCCCACTGGCCCCAAAAAGTTGACAACTCCAATCTCCAAGCAGAGGCAGATTTAGGGTGACTGATTCAGTCGCACCGCAGGGGGCACTGCAACTATGATGTAGAATGGAAGGTGAGAGGTTGGGGGGGGCTGCTGAATTTTGGTGTCAAACCAGGCACTGCTGAAATGTGAAACCACAAAGTCCACCACTGCTCCAAGGAATAACCATAGCCACACATGTTATAACATGTGCAGGAAACATCATTTCATTTTTCATACATGGAGATAATCTTCATTTTGGAAATGACAAATATTGCAATATATGAAGGGTAGTGTGAGTGTTTTTGCTATGGTTTAGTTTCTTGGGTAACTGATATACCCAATGGATGTCTAATAGAAAATACTTGCATCACTCTGCTTATCTGTTTACTGTCACCCCTAATCAATATAAATTGGCATTCTCCTAGATTTCTCTCTTTCATTTTTATTTTTCTGTTTGTAAATGAAAAAAGAGTAAAAGGAAAGTTACTTATTCTTTTACTATCAAATATTAATATAATGAATAAATTTAACAATTATTTTGTAGTAATTTCTGTAGTCCCTGCTGCTTATCTCTTATCAATGCTTAGGATGCAATCCAAACTCCTGGCTAGCAGTGTGGGACTTAATGGAGTGAAGAGGCTCCCCTCCCATCCATAGCCCTGTTGCTTACGCCAACCATGGCAGAAGGGAGGCAGAGAAAAAGCTCTTCGCTGTGGCAGCTCCCAGGCTTGTGTAATGAAGATCCCTGGATCAGGCCCACTGCTGCCACATGATGCCAGCATGGCTTGCTCAGAATCCAGTGGCTCTTGTGCCATCCCAGCTTTGCATCTTCCCTTTCCACAGGCTACCACCAGCAGGGAACTCTCTCTGAGTGACTTTGCTTGGCATGTGAGTGGGGAATGGGTACCGTGGAAGCATTTACAAAGACCATATCTGTGAATTTTCACAGGATTCTATTAGTCTTTCCCATATGAAATATGGAAAACTGAGGCCAACTGCTTGCAAGTACTATACGAAAAATAACATGCTGATTGAGTGCTATAAAGGCCACAAAATAATCTGAAGGAATAAAGAGAAAATTGTTATTTCTACATTCTGTAAATTATAGCAATTTTAGGCATGACGTGTAACAACAGTGGGAAGAAAATTTACCAGAGGAAATGGGATTTTCACCTTGACAGCATCTCATTTTAGAAGTGTAATTATTATCAAAATCAATTTGTATGTATAATAGAATTTTTGCAACTAGCCCTTTTCCTATTAAAACAAATCTGTTCAGAACATAATTGCCTGGTTCCTGTCTCTCTGCTGTGAGCAGTAGATATTGGCCAATTACTTTTCTTTATCATTAGCATTCCAACATCACAAAGTGCTCTTAGCACTCTTCTAATAGCAATAATAGCAACAACACCTGTAACACCTGAAGGAATAGTTTATGCTGAGAACACTGCCAGTAAGGGTACTTATTTAGGTTTTAATCCCATCCAAACCCAAAAGCTCTGTGTGGGTAAGAATTCTTAAAGCACATGCACAATAGCCAATTAAAATCAGTAAATCCATAAAACCCTTTAATTAAATGAAGCGCTGTTAAGCTGCACATATACTTGACCTTTTCTTGGGAGATTTGTTGTTGGCAGGCATTCTAGAATTCCGTAGGCTCCTTTGCCTTTAATAGCTGCATGACAAGCAGTAAGTCAAGTGTTTGAAGGCTCCCGCTATTATCTCAATTCTAGGGGTGTGGTGGGGGTGAAATCACACTTTGAACTTGTTCTTTATTCTAAAGGTCCGAATTAAAGAGACGGGGCGGAGGAGTTGGTGTCCCAACCACTCATGGTTAGGAAGTTTCCCCAGTAACTAACGAAATCATGCTTTCCTACACTTAAAGAATGTCTATGTGTTTCAACTTTCCATCTCACAGCCTTGCATTGTAAATTGTTATCAGTACCTCTTCTATTAGTCAATATCTACTCCTCCATATCAAGATTAGTCAAGAGGAAAGGTTACAGCATTTGGAGCTTTTTCATTTAGAGACAAAGTGACTAAGACATGATAGAAGTGTCAGTGCAAAAAAAAACCCTGGACTGCCAGTAGCGCATATGAAAACATCTAGTGGTCTTAGTAGACCCCAAGCATAACAATGTGATGCAGCAGTAAAAAAAAGCTAAAGCTATTCAGGCTGCATTAACAGTAGTAGTGTCCAGATCAAGGGAAATAATAGTCCTGCTCTGTTCTGCCTTGGTCAGACCACACCTGGAATACTGTGCTCCATTCTGGATCTCACAATTTAAGAAGGATATTGACAAGCTGGAACATGTGCAGAGGAGGACCAAGATGATCAAGGGTCTGGAACCAAGCCTATGGGGAACAGTTGAGGGTGTTGGGTATGTTTAGCCTGTAAAAAGGAGACTGAAAGGAGATGTGATAGCCATCTTAAAATATCTCAGGGGTTGCCACGTGTAAGATGGAGCAAGCTTGTTTTCTCCTGCTCCAGAGGCTAGGACCTGAACCAATGGCTCCAAGTTACAAGAAAGGAGATTCCTACTAACCATCAGAAAGAACTTTCTGACAGTAAGTGTCACAGTCCGGTTCACGGGCGATCAAAGTCCCGGCCGGGGGCAAGATGGCGGGGTGGGAGCAGGAATGCGAGTCCAGAAGCCAGGAGTCAAAAAGCCAAGAGTCCGAGGGTCAGAGAGCTGGGAGTCAAGAAGCCAGGAAGCAAGGAGTCACGAAATCAGGGGTCCGAGGATCAAGAAGCAAGGAGTCAAGGAGCCAAACACAGCAAGGCAGGGAACATGTTGCTGTGGCAAAGAGCCGAAGGGAAAATGCTGACCTTATATACCTTCCCGGCTCTTGCCACCAGGTGCTGTGAGTTACCAATCGGCCTCACCTGTGAGGCTGCGCCTTGCCTCTTCAGAACAAACTTAGGAAGGCCCCAGTCCTGCAGAGTCCTATTGGTCACAGGGCCTGGCTCCTGCACGCACACCTGACAGTAAGAACTGTTCAACAGTGGAACGGACTCCCTTGGGAGGTTGTAGACTCCCTTAGAGGTTTTAAAGAAGAGGTTGGATGGCCATCTGTCATTGATGCTTTAGTTGAGATTCCTGCATTGCAGGGGATTGGACTCGGTGACCCTTGGGATGGTTTACAGTATAAAAGGTGGTTTACAGTATACAGGTGGTTTACAGTATAAAAATACAAAATGCATAACTTTTTTTTTATTTTAAGAAAACCACACATTTAAAAGGTCATAAGGTGTTTAACAGCCAATGTTCTAGCTGACTGTTTTCAACTGGCACCTACGTTCTTATCTACAGTAAAGTGTAGATCAGGCTTCTTCAAACTCGGCCCTCCAGATGTTTTTTTTGGCCTACAACTCCCATGATCCCTAGCTAGCAGGACCATTGGTCAGGGATGATGGGAACTGTAGTCTTAAAAACATCTAGTGGGCTGTGTTTGAGGAAGCCTGGTGTAGATGAATGCAGGAAGTAGTGCACAAGTCAATCAGTAGGTGACACTCTGCACCCTTCTTTGAACATAGGATGCTATCATATACCAGGTCAGGTCAAACTTGTCCAGCTAGACCAGAACTGCCTACTCCAGCAAGCAGTGACTCTCCAGTTTCAGGCAGATATCACTTACTACCTTAATTCAAGATGCCTGGGATCTCAGCAAATAAGGTGCTGTACTACTGAGTTATGGTTCCTTCCCATGGTGGGCCAAGGTTGCCCAGCACTGCAACATTTCATCTATCTCTTCTTAAATGAACTGGTGCAAACTCTCTGCCAACTTTCAGAATGGTAGGGCAGACTGTACTATTCTTAGGGCTGGTAAAGTAGAATTCACTTTATCTCTCTGTGAGCAATTAGCCTCAAAACTTGTGATGCAAGGGAGCTGCCACTGGGTAAATACATACTAATAGATGGGTAAGCACTCAGTGAATTTCGTGGCCAAATGGAGTTAAACACACGCGCGCGCGCACACACACACACACTCTTTTATTAATTTTCACAATTAAA